TAAAATAAATTCTTTGAAAACGACTTAAAGAAATATTGACTTAATATATTATAATAGAAATGGTTGAATTTACTAAAAAAGAGCAAGAAGAAATTATTAATGACTTTTTGAATAAAATAAAAGTTAATGACATTATCAGTAGTTGTAAATGTAAACTAATAAATGAAAAAACTAGACTAACTAAGTTAAATTTACCTATTCCGATTGTTAAAAACATTTGTGATTTTAATTATGTTGAATGCGAGAAATGTTTTTTATTAAGAAATGCAAAGCAAGTTTTACATAAAAGTAATTTACATTCAACATTGAGACAATGTATTTATGATAAATACAAATTGAAATTTGAAGAAAATACATTTCTAAATGATGACTCATCATTAAGAACATATTGTTTTATAAAGTTAAATACATTTCCTACATATGAAAAAGTGAAAAAATATATACTGCAAGATAACGAAACATATATTTTAAAATTTTATAATGATATTAAATATTACTACGAACAATCATATGAAGTTAGTTATGGTGGCAAAACTGGAACAACAAGACCAATTGAAGAATTTAATAATAAAATGATATTTAAATTTATTGATGAGTATGATTTATCAAATAATAAAATTGAAAATGATTGCAAGGAAACATTTTTAAACTACATAAAACAAAGAAACCAAGAATTGAAAATCATAATTGATAAAATATGTGATTATATTCAGGATGAACAGAAGAACAATATAATAGGTAAATTAATGTATGGTGATGTGATAAATGATATTAAAAGTGTTTTAGGAAACTGGAGCATAGGTTTTTGCATTTATGATTTTGCTGATAGAAAATATCCATTTAAAAATAATAAACAGAACTTTAAACAAATACCAAAGATTACAAAGGAATATTTAAATACTAATGACTTTGATTAAAACCATACTATGATTATCACATGTAAAATATTATATGTTATAATTGTAATATATTTATCGTTTGTAAAGATTGAATTATTATAATTTGCTTATCTCTTTCAAAGTGCGTTGTTTAGACTTGGCATGCTTCTTCAATTTTTTCGTGCTTTGGCTGTTTGTTTTTGTTTTGTTTGATACTCTTATGATATTTTTTGTTAGTATGTTGCTTTGTTTTTTGTTGATGTGTGTTTTTGAGTTTGGGTTCTTTGATGATTTAGAGTGTTGCTGTTTTGTTGGTATGCTTGTTTGAATTATTTAATGTTGCATGCTGTGATTAAATATTTTTGTTGCTGGTTGTGATTATTTATTTTGTTTGCTTGTTGTTCTGGATTTTGTTTTCTGTTTGTTGTGTTGCTGTTGGAGAAAAAATAGTAGAAAGAATAATTCTTTGAATTCTCCTTTTACTATTTTTTCCCCCAACATGGTTTTCCTGCCCACTGCCCAAGTTTCCACACACCCGGGGCACGCTTGTAAAATTCAACAAGGTGCTTATTATCATGCGAGTTAATCCTGCAGTACCTTGTTTGAGACGCAGGGAATGCGACGTCATAATTATCATTAGAAAACTGCTGGTGGTGCTAACATTCAAAGTAACAATCATGCTGCTGGCGACATTGCGAATGCATAGTAATAACTATCAGCATCCCTAATGTTGGGTAAAAATTGCATCATCAAAAACATCATCATTATCGCGCTGCCTTCTTTTTCATATACGCTTTAAGTGTGCCGTTAAACCCGACTGGAAATGCAGAGGATGCGTAGTCATGATTGTCATAACAACGTCCCCCTGTCAGCAAGCAGGGGCCGGCGGCACAGGGCGGCAGCCCTTAAATCCGGCCACCGGACGTGATCGGGCCGCAGGCCTAAGCCCGTTAGGGCTTACCTTCAGGTATAAGGCCGCGCGCCCCATGCCGCCTGCGCGGACCATGCGCGGACCATGCGCATACGTTTTGCGCTGGGCCCTCCCTTATAAGGGGCGAAGGATTTGCGGATTGGTTTAGGCGATGCATCTCCCCGCAGCGTCCAAAAACGAGTATTTTTAGGGGGTGCATAATACCGGACTACACCCCCAGCATTGCCAGCATCATTCCGGATGATGCGGATGATGCTATGCATGCTGGCGATGCGAAACAAGGGGCGGAAAATTGGAAGCAGGCGTGACTGGAAGTCCACGAAATGGACATCAGAGGAATTGCACGAATTTGAGGGGGGCACTGGAGAGAAGCCAAAATGCAGGCAAATGCAAGGTTAGACGAGAGGAACCGAAGAAGGAAACGAAAACAAATTGTGGAAATTATGGAAAACGAAGAGAAGCTGCGAAATGAAGGGATGTGCAGGAAACTGACGTGGAATGGGAGGCGGACTGAAGTCACGGAAACTGAAAAGAACAGAGAAAAGGACTGCGACTGACACGGCGAAACTGTCGAAGATGCAGGAAACACGCGCAAAGGAAGTGAGGTTCAAATCTCGGGAACTGATCGGAATTGACGGACAGGGAAGTGACAGAACGGCCAGGTCAAGGTGCCCGGTGGCCGGCTGTGTCGCGTCAGCGTGTAAATCCGGCCACCGGACGTGATCGGGCCGCAGGCCAAAGCCCGGTAGGGCTTACCTTCAGGTATAAGGCCGCGCGCCCCATGCCGCCGACCATGCGCAGAACATGCGCAGAACACGCGCATACGTTTTATGCTGGGCCCTCCCTTATAAGGGGCGAAGGATTTGCGGATTGGTTTAGGCGATGCATCTCCCCGCAGCGTCCAAAAACGAGTATTTTTAGGGGGTGCCTATTACCGGACTACACCCCCAGCATTGCCAGCATCATTCCGGATGATGCGGATGATGCTATGCATGCTGGCGATGCGAAACAAGGGGCGGAAAATTGGAAGCAGGCGTGACTGGAAGTCCACGAAATGGACATCAAAGGAATTGCACGAATTTGAGGGGGGCACTGAGAGAAGCCAAAATGCAGGCAAATGCAACGTCAGACGAGGGGAACCGAAGAAGGAAACGAAAACAAATTGTGGAAATTATGGAAAACGAAGAGAAACTGCGAAATGAAGGGATGTGCAGGAAACTGACGTGGAATGGGAGGCGGACTGAAGTCACGGAAACTGAAAAGAACAGAGGGGAGGACTGCGACTGACACGGCGAAACTGTCGAAGATGCAGGAAACACGCGCAAAGGAAGTGAGGTTCAAATCTCGGGAACTGATCGGAATTAACGGAAAGGGAAGTGACAGAACGGCCAGGTCAAGGTGCCCGGTGGCCGGTCGCGTCAGCGTGTAAATCCGGCTACGCCTCCTGGGGTAGCATGTCGCCGCTAGGCAATTAGCCTCCTGGCTTTAGCTATAGGGGCTGCACTCTGGCGCCGCCGACCCTCGCCACTTGGTCGTGACGCGCTGCCTAAATCCGGCACCTCTGCATCACCAGCTCGGGCTTGCGGTTTTGCTTGCCTGTGGGAAACCTTTGCAAAACATCGCGTATATGCAGGGTTTAGGCCGTGTGGCTGACATCGTCAGGGTCTGGGGTTGGGCCTGGGTGATGCTTCAGCGGGGCTTGGTCTGCATCATCAAGGCTTCCTTCCAAAAAGCCTCTCAACCCATGAAGCACTGTTTTTTAGAAGGTATCGGAGGGATATAAGTGAGGCTCATTTTTGCGCGTTTTGGCGCCAAGCGCTGCCGGGCATGCCAGCGATGCTGGGTCTTCGCTCTACAAAACGCTGTAAATACCGCCAAAAACTGCTGTGCTGAGCGTTGGGCTGTTTTGCTGTCCGTTTTGCTTTTGCTGTGGCTGGCTTGCGTGCTGCGCGGTCCTTGCTTTTTGCCCATTGGTTTTCGGGTCTTCTGGCGCGACCCCAGCCACAAAACGCTGCTATTTACGGTGTTTCGTTGCATTTGCGTTTCCGGGCTGGCTTGCGGGCTGTTCATTTTGGGCTGCTGTTTCTGGGACCTCTGGCGCGCGTGCGCGCGACCCCATGTCAGCCTTCTGGGTTGGGGCCCGGTTGGGGGCCGGCTGGGGCCCAGAAAGCTGGCATCCCCGGCATCATCTGGGGTTGGGGTGGGCAACATGCATAAGCTAACCTACCATATCATAGCACAGACGTTTCTCACACAAAAAACATGACATGACATGGTATAACTTCAAAGAGGCGTAGCCGGCTAGAGGCCGCAGGCCCAGAAAAAAATATATATATATATATATATCTATATATATACATATATTATACATCATATATCAGCATATACTATTGTATACATTTGTATACAGCTTCTGTATTCCATTGTCGCGGGAAAAGTGCTTGCACTGAATCCACTCCATGTGCTGACCAACAAGCAATTGCTTGAGGTGCAAGTCTCGCCAAAAGCAAAAGCAAGAAAGAGTAGACATATGGTTGTGTGCTGATCCCTTCTTGGGTTGTACTTTTTGTGGGAAACCAAAAGGAAGCCACCCACTACTCTTTTTTTTTTGGGGGGGGGTGGGAGGGGGTCCCCCTATTTTGGGAAAGCCATGAAAAAAGCACCAAAGGCATCTGAGCCTTGGGAAGAACCGAGGCCCGCACGAGGCAAGAGACCCTCAACATGGTGCCATGGTCAGCGAAGGCTGAGCTCCGCCACGAGACCCAGAAAACAAATATGTACGTGACACATGGCGTCCTTTGCTTGAGGATACCCTTTTTGGGGTGGTAGTTGATCCGTAGGAACACCAAAGCGACACCACCTTTGTGAGGGTATACTGAAATGACGCCCCGACATATAGGGTATCGAACCCAGCTCCGCAGAGTGACACACACACACACACACACGCATGGGTCCATACGTATTTCAAATGAGGTTCGCAAGCAACGCCAGCTTGAGCAAGAACAGCAACGCTTGGCTGCTGCCACCCCACGTACAAGCGCCAGAAACTGAGTCACACAGTGTGAAAGGAGATGGCGCAATCCCCTCTTTTTGCTTTAGCCGTCCTCTTTACCCACGTAAAGGAAAGTGTCCCATCTACTTTCACCCTGGTGCATCAAGCTTTATCGTATTGAAAGTCGCAGCAATCCTGCCTGACAGCGATTCGAAAGGAGCGTCACCTTCGGTCACTGCAGGCGCGCCGCAGTGGCAACAACTACTACCTCGCGCACGCAAACACCTTGCAAGAGTGAGGCTGCCAGCCTTTGGCAGCCTTGTTGTCCTTGTAAATATTGGTGTTGATGATCGTGCCTTACCGTTGCTGTTGCTGTTGTTGTTGCTGTTACTGTTGCTGCTGCTACTGTTGTTGTTTCTGCTTCTGTTGCTGGTTTGTGGAGGAGGTGGTTGTGGTGGTGGTGGTTGTGGTTGTTGTTGTTGCTGCTGCTGCCTGCGGCGCTGCGGCTGTTGCCGTTGCCGTTGCTCTTGCAGTTGGTGTTGCTGTCTCTGGAGCTGCTGTTGCTGGTGCTGGTGCTGGAGCTGCTGTCGTTGCCGCGGCTGCTGCTGCTGCTGCTGCTGCCGCCGCCGCTGCTGTTGCTGTTGCTCCTGCTGGTGCTCCTGCCGCTACTGCTTGACGCTGATGCTGCTGTTGTTGTGATTCTTGTTGCAGCTTCTGTTGATGGATATGTTACATGTGGTGAAGAGCGGAAGGCGCACAGCATGAGCCACGGACCATATTTTTTGATTCCGATAAGAGCCACCTAATTCGAAAAGCAATACCCGGGTGTGTTTCAGGATTACAGCTAGTGTCGATACTCATGTTGCTCCTGGCTGATATAAATGCGTGGCTTCAGGACAACTCCCACTGGGGTGTTCATGATTCATGTCAATGTGTATACTGTATAAATCGTATGTGTGTTTATGCCGCTGCCCCATGTCATTCCTTGCTACAAATGAATACTATGAGAATTGGTCGTTGCTATGTCATTGCTAACCCACAACGTGCATGCCGTCAAGACATTGTGGCAGAATCTACATTGATGCCTGACGATCTGGGAACATTGGTTTAAACACCCGCGCCCTGGACCCTTCGGGAACCAACAGAAGGTTGTTTGGGGTGTTTACGCACGTAGCAAGGGATTGACTTGCCCCACACATCTGAGGCTATCACCAGCATATCCATTTCCGAGTGCTGGAGGCCAAGGCAGTAAAACTCGGCAGCTGCTGCGTATTGCCTGAGTCCGGGGTGGCATCCGCAGGTGCCTGTGAGTCCCGGAGTCCCGGACAAAATAGACCAACAGTTGACTACAAATTATATCAAATTATATTGTCAATGGCTCCTGTGGGCATGTCTTAAAATAGGGGACCCCCGAAATATCAATTTTCCCCTTCGTTTCCCTTGAAAGCAAGCCGGAAAGGGTACCCCCAAAAAACAACAAGTTTCATCTCAGCTTCGCACTGTGATGCCACCGCCTTGTTGCCCAAAGCGCGCGCTTGGGCTGGGTCAAGTCCCAACGAAGACACGCGGACCTCGCAGCTGCGTGAGCCCCGGTCAAGTGCCAACTGCTCTATCAGGCCCAAAGAATATCCGCTTTGACCAAATTGCGGACATGTCTCTCATCTCGCTGTTGCTTTTTTCTCGCATCGTCTGAATTTGTCGGCTCCAAGAAACCTCCAAGCGCACATTCGGATGCAACGCCCGGAACTGCCACAGCGCCCCGATGCAGGACAAGCACGGCACGGCGGTGACCTCCAGGCAGACCTGGCCAGTGTCCTTGGTCCATCGACCAGCCAAAACACAACGGAAGTGGGCAGGGTGTTGGAAGACTGCCTGGGCCCGGTGGGGGGGGTCGTGTTCTGAAAGGCAAAATGTTAAAGATACCAAAGGGTAATCCCTTGCCCTTTAGGGAATGCACCGCATTAATTACATGTTTACTTTTCAGACCCTTAATTTCTGACTACTTCATTAAACATAAAAGGTCAACATGTTACAAATCGCATGTTGTAAAAGGTTGCATGTGAAATGTCTGGCTCATTGTCATTTTCCAGGCTCAACAGTTGAATGCCAAAGAGCAACTTTTTTTCTTCTGGCAACCCACACTGCACCCTATAAATATGGTTCCGCGGTAACTGCAAGTGAGTCATACTGTAATTAAAGCCACACACTAAACTTGGCTACCCAAACCAATGTGAAGAATCCAAAGGGCGGATACTAAACTTCATCCACCTGGGTTTGATTGTGGCTCACCGCACCCCATCCATTCTCAAGCCCATGTTACATTAAATCGCTAGCTGCTATTAGTTTATCAGGCAAAAAAAGTTTAAGGATTGAAACCCAGGGGGAAAACCAGGTCCCCCCCCTCACCTCTAGAAGGAATCGGAAGGAACCTGCTGAGGGGCTCTGATCAAAGGGCTCTAATGATTGGCGCTACCAAAGAGTAACGTCCAAGTTGTGTCGTAACAGGCGGACACCAAACTTGGTGGTTTACTTTTGGTGTCCCTTTAAACCAAAAAGGGAACCCTCCCCAATACACAAGCCCTATATAAATCATCTTAAATCGAATTGAAAATGGACCCATTTCTGGTGGCTGTCCCTGAATAACCTTCCTAGTGTCGCAGTCCATGAGGTCCAGGTGCGCCAAGATCTGGAACTCTCCACAAAGGCTGCGGTCCACAGAGCTGAAGGGCAGCTGAATGGGCCTAAGCCGACTGACCTGAAAAGGGCCGATCTCTTTGACGCCCGCGGGGTGGAGGGTTTTGGAGAGGTTTGGGGGAGGATTTTGGGGGTGCGGTGGAGGGTCAGAGTTGCGAGTTATTTGAAAGTGGGGTTCAACTGGTTAAGATTAGTAAAATTAGTCAAAGATCCTTTTGGCTTCCCTCTAAGGGTTTGGCCCAAGCCTGGAAGCCCTCCTTTGCGCCGCTGGTGGCCGTGCGCAAGCCGATAGAATCGCCTAGCTCGAAGGTGCAGCGTGCTTGGACCGCTTGGACTTCCCGCGTTGGGGTGGCCGTGGAGCTGGTTGCCATCGGGGCGCCGACTGCCTGTCTTAAACCGGCAAACCTTAGGAAACCTCAAAAATGTATGCGCTAGTGTTTTCCAAAAAAAACAAATGCACTGTGTGCACTATCTTGAAGCTAATCTCAAAAGGCCTGCCGCTCCAGGAATTGCCGCTCTTGCCCGGCCTGAATGCCGCAGCTGGACAGGAGCAAGCGCGAGCCGGAATCTCCCAGCTGATCAGCACCCAGCCGCCGCACTTCATCTGAATACTTCTGGAGGCCCTCAGTCATGTCATCAGGGTTGCGCAGAAGTTCGAGCAGCGGAACTTGCAGCACAGAGACGTAGCTTTCCAGTTTCCGCACGACTGCTTGCCTGAGCTCTGGGAGCTGTAGGCTAACAGAGTCAGCCAGCCATCCCACCTGGTGCGCAGGCATGAGGTGCAACCTCTGCACAGCTTCCTCAGCGAGGGAAGCTGAATTTGAGCCGCATAGACTCACTTGGCCGCGTCACCACACAATGCTTGCAAGTTGCCGCGCATCCAACTCAGGCAGAAGCCTGCAGCACCGCGTGGCAACGGCTTCCATAGGAGGGTGGCCAACATGCTGCAGTGATGTAAGCCTTCATGCCGTGTTGGCTAGATCCATGGGACTTGCCTGAGACAGCTGTGTCAACGACAGCTCTGAGGTGGCAGAGAAGGTCGCTGGATCCCAGCATCGAAGACGTGCAAGTGACCAGGCGATGGTTGACAGGTCTCGTTGGTTGCACTCGGCCGCCAGGTGAGTAAATTGGCGGCCTGTAGCGCACAGAAGCGGCTCATGGCGTGGCGCAAAGCGGGCATAGCACCATGCCAGGCTGGCCAGTTCGCGCGGCCGTAGCTCAACAAGCTCTGATGTACACGCAGAGGCCAAGATGTCCAGCATGGTCATGTTCCTTTTCATCAGCTTGCCCCAGGCCCACGCAATGGATACCAGGCTTCGGGTGTGAAGCTCTGCGCTTCGAGCACAAACCTGTCGCGCCAAAGCATCTAAAACCCGCTCCTCGCGCAGCTCCGGACGCGCGAAGCACCACGCGAGGTTGGCCAAGTGCTTTGGTCAAGTCAGCTACGGCGACGCATTCGAGCTGCAGGACGATGCTCGCGCGAGATGCGCCAGGTCTTGCGGGAGCTCGGGCAGATGCGGAGGCTTCTTGGCGGCCAGCCGATGGCTGGCGACTCCACATCGCCTCATCTGTGGGTCCGGCTGGCCATGATCCTATCAAATCCTACCAAGACCTGAAAGAGGCTGCTTGGGAAGCATATGGGGAGGCGGGACCCCCTAATTGGATTTCGGTGTTCCTTGTGGATTCCCTTTAAAACCACCCCAAAGCGGGTAGCTCCAAAGAGACACATACACAATACTGCACAATACTGCTCATCTTCTGCCCGCACGAAAAACGAAAACCCGGCCTCGCCGGCCCTGACTGCGATGCCGCGCAGGCCATCCCTGGTAACCTGAGAGAGTGCGCAAAGATCCCATGGAAGGTGAGGCTTCCCTAGAGGATGCAGCCAGAAACCACCTGGTCAAGGGAATGCTCTTAATCAGCTTGCCAATGTATTTGTTGCCAACTGGCTTAAAAGTATCATGTCGGGGATGGTCAAAAGTAATATTGTGCTTCGTAAGAATTTCAGGGTTGGCTTACCCCCAACCATCTACAGTACCTGTCTTTTTGAGGGCCTTGAAAACTGACCCTGTCTATTGCTTCACCAACCCAAAGGACCATGCTGGTCAAGAATGCCTATGTATCACAACTGGACCTCAAAAAACCGGTTTCGACCGTCCCTCAACCGCCCCCTTGGTTGCTAATTCCAAAGTGTGCTCACTTCTTAGTGCAACAGCACATCCCCACGTACCGGAAGGTCCGCAGGTCTGCTAATTCCCAGGAGTCGTCACCTCCCTGAGAAAACAAACAAAAACAACGCATTTCACCTGATATGTGTCCAAAAATAGCAGGACCCAAAAAATGCCTTGACTTCCCTTTCAACCAAAATCAAACATGGGTAGTCTCAAAACACCCAAATGGGTCTAGCGTTTGAGTCGCTTGGCAACTCGCTTGCATGGAGCCAGGCTGCCAGGAGCAGCGGCTCCATGATGGTGAGCTTAGTGCCCTTGGCGAACCGTGCCTGCCGGACTAGTGAAGTGGACCGGGTGAAAAACTGCGTCCATTGTGGCATCCTCAAATTGTCCCATTTTTTTAAAACATATATGAGGCAAGGTCAGAATTACTTACTTGCGGCCTTTTCGCTACTTAGTTTGAGAGTCCCTTGTCGTTTTCTAGGGTTTCCAGCCTTCTCCAGGGGTATCATGCTTTTGAGAGTCCCCTACGTTTGCCATGGTTTTGTGCATGTTCAGAGTATCTATGAAACACCGAATACTGAACTCAACAGAAGTATTTTTGACGGTTCTTCATATACATGCAGTTTAAAGGAAACCCAGGATGAAGCAGAATGGTTGATGTTGATTTGTGGGTGGGCCATTGCACAAGGTAACCGAAACACTCTGGGGAGAAACACCCCTATGAATCTGCCAGGCTGACTCCAGGGTGACGGCTCAATGAATCGGACGAAAAGCAACCCCATTCGGCGTATCGAAGGGGTTGCGACCATCCTTTCCTTGCATGGCACTAGGGCATGAGAAGCCACAGTACAAACTCTTCTTGTGTGGGTTTTGATATGCGGTCTCGAGACTGTCCGTCTGTGAGCCGAGGGAACTTTAGCTCATAAACACTTCAAACGACGAGAAGTTGAGGAATAAGATCTAGCCTCCAACCCCAAGAACAAGAGAATCCAGCAAGTCAATAAACGAATCCCAAATGGAGACCTGCTGGCCACACCGGAGATGCTGAGTCAATGCATTTTGCGCACCGTAAAGCACAGTACGTCGCCCTAACACTAGTCCAACTCTTCCACGAATCTGGAGCTGGCAAGCCCCAGCAGTCCACAGCGTTTTGCTGATCCCAAGCCCTAAGAGTCTCCCCCAAAAGCAGATGGCCTGCGCAAGCTCAGCGGCCACAGGCCCCACACATGGGAGTTGATCTCGGCAACGCAAAGGGGATACAACTTGGCGTGCCCTTTGGCTGTTTGTCCCGGTTATCAAAGTGAGAAACTAGAGTCGAGTTGTTCCCTTGTGCCTTCAAACGTGGTAACTTTGCCGAACCGCAGGGCACACCCACAAGGAATAGGTTCAAGGTAGCACCGTTTTGTGAGGTCACCTTCAAAGCGGAACCTTAAAAGGGGGGCAAAAAACTTACGTGGGGGTGCCTCTTCATTGGTTGTTTGGCTTGGCGCATTTAGAGGGGACCAACATGAAACTAACCTCTTTAAAAAGTGTTCTGGTTTCTCAGGTGGGTGTGAGTCACAAAGAGTCGAAGGCTTCATTTCAAAAGGAGACATGAAGCAATGCCGAAGGGCGGTTTTCGAGAAATGTGTCAAGAGCCTCCTTGGGGTGCTCTGAATAGGCATGCCAGTTGTTAAACTCCTTCTATGGGGGTCATGGAAGCTGTGTCAGCCGTGTCTTGTCCTGAAATTAATCCTTGTTGTGCATTCTTGAGACACACTGGGAGTCTGCGGAGTTTGGACGGAACCGAGGCCGGCGCTGTCCAGAAAGACTCTCTCCAAGGTTCCGTCTCCATCACGCGCGATGGTCATGATCTGCCTTGGCTCACACAAATCCAAGGCCGGCTGCCAATTGGAATGGCTCAAGGGAAATCTGTGAAAGGAGGTCTTTCAAGATTCAAGAGAGTACAGCTAGCTAGATAAAACCGTCCAGACCGGCGTTGCTTTCAAGGAACCCAGTCGGGGATGTTGCAGGCTCTGCCACCAGAGAAACCTCGGTCACGTCACAGCATTCCGATCGGGTCTAGCAAGGGAGCTGCTGTGGTTGGCAACTCACGTTTAATATCACCGCCAAACGGGCCCCCTAGTTTTGACATCCCAACTCTGTGCTAAAACAATCTGACCTGATTTAAGGAATTCAGAAACATGTTGATGCCAGGATCTTGAATCTTCAGGACCCTGCTTGCTTTATCATTACGTTGAAAGGCGCACAAGACAAAGCAAAAGAAGGAGCGAGCCATATATATATATAGTATATAAAGAGGGAGAGAGAAATAGAGAGATAGAGAGATCAAGAGAGCTAGAGAGGTAGAGAGAGCCAGAGAGGGAGAGAAAAAGACAAAGGCCTAAAGGCAAAGAGAAAGAGAGAGAGAGAGAGAGAGAGAGACAGGGAGCGCGAGAGAGAGAGAGAGAGAGAGAAACAGAAAGAGAGCGCACCCGCAATGCACCACAGCCAGGATATTCCGAGTCAGCATGGACAAAAGTCGCCTGTTGCCCCAGGAGGACATGGAAAAATGAGGGCTCGTCCCCAAGGTTAGAGCTCGTCCCCCATCTCCCGAACCCCAAATGGGCCATAGACTCCATCTCAGGGCAAGTGAGAACAGCTCTGAGGCCAGGTCCGAGCATACCGCTCCCTGCCAGCTCTCAATAAATCCAAGAAACCAGCTACAAGGATTTTCCAGCAGAACTTCCCGCTTATGTGTTGGTCTCAATGGGATAGTGGAATGTCTAAGCACTCAATGGACCCTGGAGCACAAGTCGCCAGATCACGCCTCCGCTCCCTTGTTTGCGACATCATGATGTCGCAAGCATACCAAAACTAGACTTAGAATAACATGAATGCACGATAGGACAAGATTCAGACATGTTCAGTCATCAATTCCATGGATTCCTTTTGTTTCAACATGCAGCCAGTTCGACCGGATCATGCCTGCCATGCCTGCCATTCCGCTATGCCATGCCTGTCAATCCAATCTGGGTGTGTATTAAAATAGGGGAACCCCAGAATGGCATGGGTTCCTGTTGGTTGCCCTTTGAGACCAATCAACAAGGGTTCCCCCCCCCCAAAAAAAAAAAAAGAAGAGCGCCCATCTTGCCTCCTCGGGATAGCAAAGCAACATGTCCTGAGCTCAAGTCATTCGCATGAGGCCCAAACAGTCACCCATTTCAGGCTTGGGGGCAACGACAAAAACATGCACTCTTAGCTAAACACAAAATCGTACTAGACAATCCGCCAATCAAGCAATACCACGCTTAGCCGAACCATTCTTGTATAGACCCCTTTGTTTAGAAAGGACCCTTTTATCACAACCAGGTTTGCAGAAAAACCACTACTCTTTTAGCAAAGCCACCATTCTGTTGGCAAGGCTACTTTTCACAAAGCCAGATTTTGTGAGCAAAACTGGTGTTATTTTAGCAAAACCAGTGCTCCTGTAGACAACCAACTATTCTTTTAGCAAAACTTCTACTCGCTTGGTAAAATTACCATCATGTATGCAAACACGATATTAAACAAAACGAAAAACATTTCTAGCCAAATCACAATTCGTGTAACAAAACCACCGTTTGTGTATTTTTCAACAGACCCCTCTAAGCAACACCATGGCTACCCACAACTCTGGTGGCTTAACTACCTTTCACAAACCATGCTTGTAGAAAAACCAGCAAAACCACTAATTACTCTTGCAGCACAACCACATTCTATCGCAACCTCTTCTAGGAAAATCACTATATAATACTCTTTGAGCAACATCACTACTCTGTTGGCGAGACTATTTTTTGCAAAATCATATTTTGAGCAAACCCACAAGCGAAACCGCTTTCCTTAGCAACACCACCAGACTACTCTTTTTTCGGGACACCCCTTGAAGCAAACCATGCTTGTGGCAAGAGCACTATGCGCTTAGCTAAACAACTTCCACTACTGTGTGTTGGCAGGACTGCTTTTGGCTAAACCAGATTTTACGCAAAGCCACTCTTCTTTGAGCAAGACCAATACTGTCTGTGGAAGAACCCCTTTAAGCAAAACCATGGTTGTAGCAAAACCACTAGTTGTTGTTTTAGCACAACCACTTCTAGCAACCCCACCGCTCTTTTTAGCAAAACCACTACTCTGTTGCCAAGACGACTTGCCGCAAAGCCTGACGTTGTGCAAAGCCGTTTTTCTTTTAGCGAAACAATTGGACGACTTGTTCAAGAAGACCCCTTTAAGCACGACCGTATTTCAAGCAGAAGCACTATTCTTTTGGCAAGCAAAGTCACTACTCTTTTAGCAACACAACTCTGCTGGCAACAACGTTATTTTCTTAGCACAACTGCTATTTCAACACCACTACTTTTGTAGCAAGACCACTATTAGTTTAGCAAAACATCAGCGCAATTGGCACATCCACTAATATTTTAGCAAAGTCTCGTGTATCAAACTTTTGGCAAAAACACAACCCTAGCAAAACCTCTAATATTGTGTCTTGTTTTAGCAAAAGACATGTTTAAGCAAACCCAATAAACAAAGTAACCAAGGCATACCAGGTCCAGGGGTTACCACAGGTTGCCGCGTTTTGGCAAAGCCGGGTCGAGGTCCAAAACGGACCGGGTCTGCCCTTTTTCACCAACCCCCCATGGCCCCCATGGCCCCCATGGGCCCGCACGGACACGTGGACGCTGTTGGCGTCGAAGGGCACCGCTTGGCCGGAAGCTTTCACGCCGCATCGGCGTCTGGTTTCGCGAGCGGTCGAGGGGTGAAGCTCGCTGAGGCAACCAGTAACGCAACCCAATGAAATTCCGAGGGTTCGGTGCAAGGACCGGACTTAAACTAAACGAATCAATGGCCATGATGCTTGCCTTTTCATTTGATCCTGGGTCACCCAAATTAGATGATAAAATAATGGTTGTATTAACCCCATGTTAATGGTGAAACCGCTGGGGTTCCTTCTGGGGACCCGTTCGTTTTTTTGAACAGCAAGCCGCAAACACCAGGATGGGAGTGGGAAAACAGCGCCTCCTTCCATTTGTTTAATTGCCCCAGGCTTAGAACCCAGGAGTTCATGTCTCTAATTTTGCAGAACCCTTGGTTTCCAGCCTAGCTTGGTCCGTTTTGGAGGGTGTCCCGTGTCCAATTTCATAGCCCGGTGTCTCAAAACAGGGCCCAGGATACATTTTGGGGAGGGGGTCTTCCCAAAATAATAATGGGTTTCTCTTCGAAACCTCAAAAAAGGGGTACCCTCGCAAGTAGACAAACACATGATAAAACCAAGCTGGGGAATGGCCAGTTTTGGCGCACATGCCCGGAAATCTTGCCCTCCCTGTTTCTCACTAGACTACTCTGGCTTCACACAATGGAGCAGCAAAGGCCAACTTGAGTGCGGTGGCAACAGAGTGAGCAGCGTGCAGCGCAGCCTCCGGTAAGCTTCCGTACGAGGAGAACGAACTCCCAAAAGACCCCGCTGCCAGCCAAATGCCAGCTCCTGCGATAGAATGTTGTCTGAGCACGTGGGGCACGATCACAATGACTTGTTTCCCCAAAAGGGCCTGCGACAAGTAGGACTCGTCCCCTGAATTCTGTGGTGAATTGAGTGAGAGTCCCTCTCAAATGGACCGTAGACTACAGGAGAATTCGACCGAACCTCACACAGCACTGGACAGTGCAGCCGCGACTGTCCTTGTGCTCATCAAAGAGCGAATGGCCCCAAGAGTGGTGCCCAAAGCGTCTCACAGTGTTCTGGGCCTGCACACCAGCTCTTGGACTGTGTTGGAAACATTTGACATGGTTTCCACAACAAATTACCACCTTCAAGAACAAATGGGGTGTATTCAGGATAGGCTTGAAGCCCGACCCCATCCTTTTGGCTGGACATCAACCAGTGGAAACGCTTGAAAAAAGCAAAGACGGCCGCAGTAACTTCCCAATTCTGTCCAATCCTTCTTTCAGGAAAACTACCCCAACGCCGTGTTTGTTAAAACAAATGGGAAATCAAGCGAAGAGAAAACACTTGCTGCTTCTCAGTAGGGAATGAGGGAATGCCCCCTATGAACCGTCCCTCCTGGTTTCCTATCAAAGGACCAAGTCCCCATCGAAGCAACAAGTTGTTGCAGGGCTGGTTTTTGAGTACTCCATAGGCTTCAATCTGAGGGGGGGGGTTGTGAGTACTCCATCAAGGGGAACCGGAGGAATGTGGGGTCAAAAAAACAGGACACCAATGTGTGTATGAATCAATGGACATCATGGTGGGGATTCATGCCCACCACGTTTGAGGTTCCAACTCGCATTCACCCCGACTGAAAAACCCTCTTGGAAAACCCATCAGCCTCCCTTGGGAATTCCTTCCAGCCCAAAATGACCAAATCCTGGGGGGTCGACTGGGGACTCCGATCCGAATCGCCACGCTGGCCTCCAGCTCCTCCAGCAGCTCAAAGCTCGCCAGGCGCCCCGCTGGCTTCAGCAGCGCCTGCGGAATTTCCGGATCGGCGCAACTTTGCAACTTTGCGACTCGTGTGATTTGTGTGCAACTTGTTCATGCGTTCAGTGGTTGTGTTCAGAAGTTCATGTTTCTATGGGCAGCAAAAATCCTGCGAAGGACCAGGTCTTGACATAGAACTCCGCGAGGGGATGCCGCCCAAAAGGAGTGTCCTCCAGAAATGAAGGATTTGTGGCATAATAAGGTTCCGCTAGAAAAATACACATGTGCCCTTTTCAAGGGGCCCTGTGCATCTACTTCCCGAACCTTAGGCAAGTTATCGAGGCGTCCGTAATGGCTGGCAGCAATTGAGCCTTCTCTGATTTTTGGCAGGCGACACCTCCTGCCTGCAAGGGATGCTGAGAAAAGTGCCGGCGGCCTGAGCCTATGGAGCAAGTCAATTTCAGAAAGCACATGAACTGCGAATTACGTCACAGTGCACCAAAAAACTGAGGTGACCTTGACTTGAGGGAAGGGACACTCAGTTCGTGGCAGAAACCCCAAACTAGTCTTTGGAATTTCAGCCTGCATCACCTAGCTCTAAGGCTCAGCCAGGGCGTGGTAGAACCCCCAGTGCATAGAAGTCTTTGGCAATCCCTTGCATCGTTTGGGTTTGGTTGTCGAGGTTTTTCGGGGTTGGTTTACAGGGAAGCCCGCTTTTGGGGTCCTCCCATCTGGACACATCCCAGAAGTGATTGGACATCCAACTTGCGACACCTCTGCTTCTAAGGCAATGGCGCGACAAGGTCGGCCCTGGTGCTCCACGTCTGCGCCTGCCTCGGCCGTGAGGGTCCTGGTGTTTGACACCCGAAACACCCTTTTGCCTGGGCTTATGTTCTAGACATGATCATCCAATTCTTGAGGCATTTTAGACAACCACGGTAAGGGCTTCCGAAGGAACCATGACCATGGCCAGGGCCACGAGGAGCTTCGACGATCGCACTTGGACCAGTGGACCAAATGGTCAACTGCTTCGGGCACCCGTTGAGATCACGTGATCTGGACTGCGGGCTGGTTTGGACCCTCTCGGAAGGTTGCCGTGCTGCTATGTGTGAAAAAAACACGTGTGCTTCCAAAGGCCGGCACGCAGCCGTGCCACGCCAGTGCCGACCTCAGCGGGTTAGCTCCAAAAGGTTCAGGCCTTGCTCTTGTGAAGCTGGGCTCCCTGTTTTTCCCCTTTCCACAGCCCAAGGAATGAAAATAGTCGATCCTGAAGGGAGACCGAGCTGTCGCCATGGCGTATGTGAACAAAGGAAACAAGTCACTGGAGCTCCATGCAGCCAAGGTGCAGGGCCCAGGTGTGGGATCCCTGAGCACAAGCTGTGGCTTTCTGTTTGCAGGCAAACAATTCTCCAAATATTCGGCAAACTCTGTCACCCCACCCCACCCCCACTAGTTTCTCTCGGCGTCTATCCACTTCAAGGTCGCTTTCCGTCATCCACAACAATTCCAAACCTGAACCTGGTGTCATTTTGCTTGTCTGCTGGAGATTGTCAATGTCAGAGCTTCATGTTGCTTCTCGGGGTGACTTTGAGAATCGCGAAAAAATGAAGCCTGGTACCCTGTGCAGCTAAGAATGTGTGCATGACTCCCACCTCTGCTGGAACTGTCTTTGGTCTGCGAGAAATGCTTCTGCACGAGAATCTCAAGAAACTTGTCCTGCCATTGCAGACAGCAACATCCGCCATGCAACCAAAAACTTTGGACCTGCAGGCTCTTCTTTACACCTAGTCAGCAGCGATGATGAGCGCCGGCCAACCGCTGAGTTCAGAACTTGGCAGCCCGTTGACAGATGTTACAAGCACGTGGACATACGCAATTACGTAACGTTGACACACCAGCAGAGTTGGCGAAAGTTTCTGAAATTTCGGCACTGTACTGTAGTTTTTCCCGTTCTCGCAATCTCTATCTCTCTCTCTCTCTTTCTTTATCTCTCTCTCTCTCTTTCTTTCTTTCTTTCTTTCTTTCTTTCTTTCTTTCTGTTTCTCTTTTTCTCAGAGTTGTGCTCCTTCTCCTTCTCTTCTGTCCCTCCCTCTCTCTCTCTCTCTCTGTCTCGCTCTCGCTCTCTGTTTCTCTTTGTTGCGCTTGTCAACAAGTCTGTCCCAACCTCGCGAAAGCGCTGCGCCTGCCACGCAAACTCTTGTCGCGGAAAAAAGCGCGCGTGTCCGTGCCATTCTAACTCTCGAGCATCCGCAGGAACTGAAACCCGCAGAGGGCTGCGCTTTTTGGACGTTTACATTCCCCCGCCGAACGCGTACTTTTTGTTGTTTGCTTAGTCTTGTCTTGTCTTCTATCAGAGAGCTAGCTTTTAATTAGAGTCCATACCCCCCAAACTCTCGAATGTCCAGGCTGTTCCTGCCAAGCCCATCATTTCATTACGTGATTCTTGGAGGGCATCTCCAAGGGCATTGACCGAGCATGCCACAAGTCGGAAGGATGACAAATTAAACATATTTTGCATTCATAAGATTGATAAGTGTGTGTTTTGTGTTTTTGAGGGTACCCGTTTCCACAGGGAAACCAACTATATTGACGCATACCCAATGGAATTGATGGCTGATGAGTTGCTTTGTGGAGATGCTGCACCCAAAACAAAACGCCATGGGGCCAACCATTCTTTCCGGGTCTCGTCCGCGCCTCCACAAATTCCTGGAAGGTTGCAAGGAAGTGCCGTCGCCTCTCCTGGGCTCTCGGAACAGAGCATGGCAATTATGTTCATCAATCGCTTTTGAGAGGGCTGATTGAATGCGGATGCTTCTCACGCTGTTGTTGCGCCTTGCCCAATCCTCGTCGTTACACGTTCCAGTGTAGAATTTCTGACAACTCCTGATGTTCATGATTGTACTTTGACCCCCCTTTTTGACCTCTTAAGTAATTACATCCATGTACATCCTCATGCAGAAGGTACCTGGACCCTGTGGGGGCTGTTGTCATTTTCTACCCATGCCTTCAGGCACTGCTTGTTTGCATGGGCACTTCCTTCACTCCTCGCCCAGCGATCTGAACTGCTCGTAGACCTGCTCAGGTCAGATTGAGAGAGCACGCATCCTGTATATTTGGTGAAGCATAAATGACGGATGAATCATAAAATAACGCATTGAAGAAACACTCGGCTTCATATTGGTTTTGACAATTGCAGCTCACCGCAGCCCACCGCAGCCCACACCCCAGTGCAGCGCACCCCATCCGTGCCCTTCCGCCCACTTGACGTGTGGCTCCGTGTCAGGACCTACAAGATACTCAAGCCCGGGACGTGATATAATTAACAATTCAGCACCCCATGGTGAAACAGGCGACTGACCTTGACAACAGCTCCGTCCTTTCGTGCTGCCTCTTGCCTTCAAGATTGGTTCAACAAAGATTGCGTAATCTGCGCACATGGCGTAATATGCCGAAGCTCTTGTATAATAGAGTACTGCATAAGTCCTGGTCATGAGTGTTTTGTCCATTTTCCTCCGCCTCATCCTTGGGATTCATAAGCTTTGTTTTCCTAGCATCAGCTCTTCAGATTTGGGCTTCTCCAAAGGGGATGATTGAGGCAAGTAAGCCATACAAAAGGAACGACGGATTTTTTGCATATAGTGCCATCGTCATGCCACCATCATTGTCTATCATCATAGTCATCATGGTGAGCATCAAATTCATCCAAGCCATCATAACTAATTATCCTAACCGTAGACCTCAAAGAGTCACCATGGTGTGGACATCGAGACACGGTTGGGGCTTCAGCAAAACGCAGCACTTCTGAAAACAGGCGGAAAAGGCCTGGAAGCTTGATCGATACTACCGGTGGCATGCGGCTTCCTCCGTACCGACTCACCGACTGGGACCTTTTTGCTTTTTCGCAGTCGGGCGCAGGGCTTGCCGTTGCCAAGAGCTTGAAATGATGCTGATATGTTGGACGCTTCAAGCTTCTGGCTTCTCCAAAACTGGACAGAATTGCAGCTGACCCAAATGGCCGTCGCCCGGAATCCGGGAGATCCCAGGGTGCACAGTGCCAGAGGTCTTAATGGATTCCTCGCATTCGGAATTGAGCAGCGCCCAAGACCCCTTGACATGTGGCTCTATAGCAGGATTGTCATAAGGTTTATGCAGCCCTTAGCCAGCACTAGAACCACCCAACTAAAATGGCTCATGGGGCGTTTGGGCGCTCGTTTCAGCAATGTGCACCCTCTTTGCCTCCAAACTGCGTCAACTAGGGAAAAATGGGACCTCGAGGGGTTCGGGATTCGTCTGCGCCTTTCATGGCGGCAGAAGACACCTCCTTCGTGATGTTTTTCACGGCAGAAGTATCAGTGCGTACGGGACGCACACGTTTGCTACTGGAAGATGGAGAGTTCTCTCCCATTGGGCACTGTCCAACGCATCGTGACAGATCACTTCACGTGGAAAAGCTTGTCATAGGATCCCTTCTCGAACACAGCAGCATGACTCGGAAAGGTTAAGCGAGGCGGCAGGCAGCGCACTCTAAAATCAATCAACAAGACATGGTGCATTGAAACATCTTAAATCCCCTACACCAAAGGCTAATTTGCCTCGATTTCTTCCCAAGAAACCATAGCAAACCGGGTCAACCGATGCCACAAAACCTCCGACAACGAGCCGAGGGCAGGGCATCTTTGCCAGGTCAAAGCCACTCTGCTCGAGCCATCCTGAGGTTCGATGCCTACAATGACAAATGCGGTTGGTCCGAAATATATGCCATAAGGTCCCTTTGTCACTGTCACGGTCCCATTTCTTTGCTCAGTTTAGACATACTGAAAGCCAGGCGGCCGTCATCCATGAACTTGCCTGAGAGCGCGAACGCGAGTGACAAGCCATGCTTCCAAGCACAACTGCGGGCCGGGTACTCATGTAGTTCCTGGCAGAATCTGCCAGAAGAACAGCACATCGTTTGTCCTGCAAAGCCAAAGCTCTCACAAACAGCGCCAGCACACGAACTTGTGCCCGTGTGCAAATGCAAATGTGTACACGCACGCGCACACACACACACACACCTCCCACCTTGTGGCGGCTGTGAGGAAAAGAGAAAAACCAACAACAACTCTTTGACTGAAATGCAGCCTAGCTGGGCAGCTCCGGGCCTCATGCCTTCAATGTGTTCGCAAAGAGGGCATCGCGTGCCAAAGTGTTTGTGGCGGAGGCCAAAATGAACGACGCCCAAAATCCATTGACTTGTGGTCCTGCCAACGGCGAAATCAAGCTTCACACAGGCGTCAACTACAACCACCATAAGTCCAAGCAGTAGAACCACGTACTACTGACATTGCCAAGAGGGGTTTCAGACATAGTAATAATCATGCGCCGGACTTGCCAGTAGTTTCTTTGATTCGGCTCTCGGCATTGGTTTTTATTATCAAGCCTCCGCTCCTTTACGAGGGCATTGCTTGGACGGGAGTCCCCATGTGTCCAGCCCCCGCCCATCACCCCACCAGAAAGGAACTCACTTTAACCGTGCATTTCCAGGAGGCGTCTTAATCCAACAAAGGAGCAAATACCTTGATAGGGAACCCTTGCCGAAATGGTTGGTGGCGGCTGAATAATCCACTGATGTCCGCCAAAGGGCTCAACCACTTGAAGTTCCAGCCCATGGAGTCTTTTTGAGGTCACCCCCTCAAACCCATCTTAGGAATGCGGATATGTGTCAAAACCAGGCCCTCCAATTGTGTTTGTGTTGGCTTGTCAGAATGGGCCCAACACAGGTCCCTATTTTTGACAAGCGAAGGCAGGACTGACAGCCCACCCTTGAGTAGTACGTTGTTTATACGTGAATGAAACGAGGTTGTTTGGACAGTGTTCTATGCTACCTAGAGTTAACCTTGGCTCTGACCCAGGTTACTAGACAATCACAGGCCGAACACAAGTTGGGTGCAACCCCAACCCCAAATAAGCCCCACCCCACCCCCCAAACCCGTCCTTGCCGATCTTGTTCTCCTTGATGAAGCGATAGGCTCCGGCCACCGTCGACCCACAGGATCCGCCGATCAAAAGACCCTCGTGCCGCACCAAGGCACGACACATGGCGAAGGCCTCGTCGTCGTCCGTCTTCACCTAAATGGCGCAAGTGCCGTGAAAGCGGGTGCATTGTTGGAAACCCTGAAATCTGACTGATTTCAGGCAAGACACTTTTTGTTTTTCTTCGAGAAAACCCCGTTAAAGCCGAAGTACTGTGTGATCAACAAAATGATGCACAAGTTACAGTTGGGTTGGTGGTGTATTCCAAATACTGTATAGGAGTTGGTACCCCTTTCAGACTGGTTGAAGGGCAACCAAAAGGAAAACAATCCTTTTGGGGGTCCATTTCCGTGTTTGGAAACCCAACTGAATTGGGTGTCCGAATAGTATAGGTGCTAATTTCTCGCATTCCTTCTGACCTTATGAGTCATGATTCTACATTCACCATCTGTGTGGCTCGACATGAGAAGAACGAGAGTGGTGCAATCACATAGCTCTTTGGGTCACTTGCTTATTCTGGCCAGGGATCCATCTTTCCCAAAAATCGGCAAAATCCTATGTAGCGGAAACCAGCTGTTGTTTGAATGGTCGATGGTTGAAAAACATGCTGCATCATCCATATCTCCCTAGAACAGCTGTCAGACTTGCTTGGCAGGCCTTGAAGCTCTTCGTGATACTATAGATCAAACCCTTTATGCCTCTTGTGTGTGTGTATTCTGTTGCTGATGTGGCGATGTCGCCCTCTTCGTTTCTGTGCTTCTTTCTGGCTTCTGCCGCTTCGCTTGGGGCGCCGTGCTCTCGGTTTTCTCTGTCTAGCTTTGCGGCGCCATGGTTTGGATCCGTGTCGCTGGCGGCCGCGTTTTCTCGCCACCTTGGCCATCGCCATTCGCAGCGGTGCTAGCGCTGCTCGCGCTTCTCGGGCCCTGGAACTGCGTGTCGCTTTCAGGTTGAGTTTTATTGTTCTCTCTTTGCTGCTTTCGTCGCGAGGTCTGCGGCTTGGCTGCTTGCTCCTCTTTGGTGCTGCGTTCGGCCTGCTTCCCCGCTTCCTTCTTCGACCGCCGAGGCTTCTGTGCATTCTACCCACGACCCGCCAGTTCGCGGCCGGGCGTGCGGGCATCGCCCTGCACGGAATCCGCCTTCAGGACCACCTCTTTGCCCTGATACGGGGCCTAACCATGGACAGGCTGCCCATGGACAGGCCCTCGCATACTACAACTACAATGATTTAACACAACTGAACTGCAACTTAGCAGCCCAGTGGTCCACAATCTCTCGATCCAGGACGGTCGGGATGAAGTCGTAGCCTAAAATTCCGAGCTCGATCCAAAGCAACCGCCCCGAAGTTCCGGCTATGGAAACCACCAGCATTCCTTCATGTGGCTGGGGCCCATGACTTGTTTCCTGCACAATGCAAATCAAGACGGCTTGAAACTTGAAAATACTGGCCCGAGCTGAATCAAGCCGTGGAGCCGATGCCCTCAACGTGGTACGCCGACAACCTCGCCAAGGCAAGCTTACACCGCAGACCTAGGTAAGATTCAGTTGAGGACCCTTTGGTGGACATCATGCAAATCACTTTTATGTGTCCACTTTTCAGGGGTTCCTCATAAACGTCATAGCTACCTCAGCCTGCAAGTTTCTTGCAATGTGCAACACCCTGGGGCCTCTCAGCTCAAGATGCTTTCTTCAAGGCGCATCCACTTCGGAGACGGATTGATAGATCTATGGTGGCATCCCCGAAAGGCTATCCCCTGTTTCCAGTGGTCTCATTGATCAACGGGATATCAGAGGTTTCCCTTGTCAGAAGTAGAACTTGTAGGCAAACGCAAAGCCACTTGGAGGGGGCCTGGAAACCTGAAATATTCTCGCACTGGTTTGTCTCTAAACGGGCAAACCTAAAATGAATCAGTTCTGAAATCACGTTAAACTCACCCAACGCGGGGCAACACAAATACACTCGAAGTTCATCAAACTTGGGGTGGATTGATACTTTCCACCAACCATGTTTGAGGGTGTTCCCCATGTAAGTCCGTTGCTCAAGTAAGGCCGGATCTTTTTGTTGGACCCTTCGTGCCCCACAGGAGAAATATCGCGGGCAGTGCCTTTCATGCTATGGCCAATATGTGGTCAATACTGGGATAAACCACCCGACTGGGTATTCAAGGCTGACGTCGCAGGCCAGCGACTTCTCCTGCCCAGTGCGGGTCGACTTCTCGTTCACCTCCGCAGGCTCGGCCTGGGCAAAACCCAGGGAGCTTCCCACCTGGAGGGCTCCTGTGCCCAGATCCCGGTTAACGCTGTCAGTATAGTAACTTAGCAGGTCAGCCAATTTCCTTATTTCCTTTTGGTTTTTCAAGAGTGGAAAACCCGTTGATTACCTGTAGGTAAATGGAATCACTGGCTGTGTGTCAACCTGAGGTTCCTATTCCATTGGTGTCAAGGTGAGCAATGCAGTCAGAGGAAGCACGAAATGTCTTCCTGCGTGGGTCTTTACCTTACGTGGTTCTGTGCGTCTCTGTGCACGCCTGTGCGCAGCGGTGTGTGCGTGTGTCTGTGTCCATTCATTGGTGGCATGGGGCTCAGTATAGTCCTGTCTTAGTGTTGTGTTTATACGTCTTCCTTACGTGTCTCCTTTCCTCTTGCGCTGTCCATTCCTCTGTTTCCCCCATCTACTTTGCTTTCTTCTTCTTCCTCTGCGTCTTCTTCATGTTTGCGTTTGACAGTAAATGCTCGTTCCTACGAATGTTCAGCATCATCTGTCTTTATCAATGTTGTTTGTTCAATGCCTCTTTAATCAGCATCACGCCAACTTGGCTGGTTCTCAAAATGGAGCACCCCAAAATGGCAGGCTTCCTCGTGGTTTCCTTGCAGCCCACCTGAAGAAGCGCAAAAGCATTTAGGTCGGTATGAATTCTAATGGGGAATCCTTTGGTGGACATCAACATCCTTCATGTCCACCAACTACTCTTGAGGTGGTTTCCTGTCAAAAGTCTTAGCCATTTGGGTGGAACCTGCAAACCTTCGAGATGTAAATGCCAAGCCGACGCTCGGGGCTGAACCAGGATGCTGCCGTACGGGTCCACGCCAACCACCTCGCAGTCAGCATCTGTTTTGTCTGCGGAAACAAACAGGGTTTTGACACATGGGATATGTCGTTTCCGCTGAGATCGGGACCTGCACACCCGGAATGAGCTCCTATTCCGTTGACTGCTTGGCTGGTTGGCATGAGCCGAGTCTGGGCTCCTCTTTTTTGGGGCTTGGGGCGGTAAAAGGAACGCCTTGGCCATTTCCCAGACCTCTCTAGTGCATTTGCGTGCAAAAACAGGCATGTTTTGGGACCCTGTCTTGTGGGACCCTCCGCCAAAGTGCTGGTGGTTGAACAGGGAACCATGGGAGGCCCCCCGTTCCAGCAAAAATTGGGAAAGGGCCGGCACTGGAGCTCCTGGCCATTGGCCTGGGGGGCTCCCTGATCGAAGAAAAGAGACCCCGGCGATTCCATTCCCCAAGTTGGCAACCAAGGGAACCACAAATTCAACATCATAAACATGGCGAAGGCTGGGATTTAAAGCCTTTCTTTCCCACGATGCATTCGTTTTGGTCACTTTTGGCACAGGTCCTTCAGCTTCTTGGCGACGCCAGTCATGGTGCCACCGGTGCCTGTCGACCTAGCGCATGCTTTGAGGCCGTTGCTTTATTTTTGGTCTGACCATGGTTTTTGTGGGCCCAGAAACCAACATGCAAAATGGAGGCCAACAAAAAGGTGGGTGCGACAGCCGGCTAACCTGCGAAGCAAAGCCTATTGTGACATCAACATCATCTCGGGGAGCCAGTCAGCTTGGTCAGCCGAGCAGCATGATCATATAGTCCAGCTTTCCTGAGCGCAATACTTTTTGGTTGATCGTGCTCCTTTCGAGATGACAGCAAAACCGGGCCAATTTTGGGCAGAGCCCCTTTTATCTTGGCACTCAGACCCCCTGCAAAATGTGAACGCGTTGTTGGCACAAGGGCAAAACGGTGAGTTCAGTCTGGCAGCGTCTTGAAACCGGCCACTTGCACGGGTGGTGTTTTGTGGAAAGAAGGATCCCTGCAAAATAGGGCAGAAACCCTTTCAATCCTGGGGGCAGAAAACCCTTATTTGCGTATTTGGGGGTCCCCCATTTTGAGACAACCTCCCGTCTTCCATCTGAATCGGCCTTCGCACTGCTCCGCGATCTCCTCCGCGGTGCCATCGTAGTGTGCCAAAGGGTTCCCCGGGTTCTTGTACTGGTCCAAGACATGGCCGCCTTGTTTCGGCAACGGACGACATGGTTCCAGGTTGGGCCAAGCCTCCTGTTCAATGACTCGCATTTCGCTTAGATGTACTCTTTCCATCTGTTGTGAAGTTAGCTGATGCCAATTGTCAAGGCCGCCGGTGCAACGCCTTGCCCGGGCCACTGAGTGACTTGGACAGTGCATACGTAGATTCGGTTGCTTTCTTCGCGAATTTGCCATCTTGAGAGAGATTGCCCGTGTATGTGAGGGCTACCACAACAACAACTTTAGATTCATACGCGTATCACTCCGGCAGGGGGTCCAGCAATGCTAGCATTTGCAGGGGCGGTATCAGCGTTTGACAAGCACTCTGTCATTGCCAGCTTTCAGGCAGTATGTGCGATAAGTGATGTGATGTGCGCGCCAATAAGTTTGAGATGGTCCAGCAATAACTGACAGTGGCACCAGCCATACCCCAAACACAACTGCAGAACCGTGGGTGCAGGTGGTGGTGAGGGCCTGGTAATTCCAGCATTTGTCGCCCAACCGAATGACATTGGTTCCTCAAATGGCAATGGCATGTCAAAATTGAAGCACCCTGGTTTTGGCAGTTGCTTCGGGTGGGCTACCTTCTCAACAGCTTATATATACTACCAACAATCAGTCACTCGCATGTGCCATGGCCAGAACTCTGCCAACAAAATGGGCCGTGATCAGGGTTCCCTGAATGAGAACCTGTACACACTAGTTACCCCTCTATTCCCTATGAGGTCTATGACCATCCCTACCAACCAAGTAGGGTGTCCAAAGGGCATGGCATTCTGTTGGTTCTTTAGATACCACCGAAAAATAAGTTTTCCGAATCCCCCATCTTGAAAACCTCCCACGTGGCACACACCAGGATCTGAGTCCCGGGCCCAAGTCTTTCGCCAGGCGCGCAGACAGAAAGATGTGGCTGTCTTGGGCATCCCAGGCCGCCTCACGGCCGTGGTTTCGCACGCCACCCAAAAACGCAAAACAAGGAAGTTGGCGGTACTAACATGGAACCCAAAACGCCCCGTGTAGAGGAATCTCTTGTTGCGGGACCTCCTTGGGTTCCATGTGAATTTGGGAGTAAGAAACAATGGCTGAACACAATAACAAATCGACCCCGATGAGACAGGGCTCGCTATGTGTCCTCCTTAATATCACCCCCTCCCCACCCCCCCGCTTAAACTAAGGAAGCTCATTTTACACTGGCAACCAACAAGTGAGAATTGCAACCAAAAGGCTAAATATGCCAGAAAGCGATTGTGACTGACTGATGCACTACACTGCCTCGGTGGGCGTCCGCAGAATTTCAGCTCCCAGGCACTTCATGGTGTTCACCTTCTCCCCCGACATCTTCCTGAGGTCTGTGGAAGGCAGTACCCTTCTCAGGTGGGTTGAAAACAAACCCCGTGGACAAACCTTATATCCTTCTGTCCTAGTAGCCGTGAGTATCTTTTCCGCACAAGTGTAGTATACAAAGTACACTCTGGCAGCTCCGGCTAGAAATTCGCAATGTAGTGCAAAAAGTACATTTTGACAGCTCGAGGGAAGGCTGCAGGGCAGCTGGTTGGATTCGGCATGGCGGCTAATGAGTTGGGTATCGGTTGGGCATCGATTCGGATATCGGTTTGGGCCCCGCAAATTTATGATTCCGCAATCTTGGTTTTGCGACAACAACTTGGACCTGGACAACCACCGTCTTTGGGCGAATCCTGATTTTGACACATACCGGATTGAGCTTAGCAGAATCAGGCGCTGAGTGCATGTTGCTGCAAGAAAGCGGCTGGGGCAAGCAAATGATCTGCTTGTAGCCTGGCGATCAAGTCACTGAGCTTGTTTGCACGTAGGCGCCATGAGCAAGTTGTTTCAGCATTCTCAAAACAAAGCGAGAATAACAACTGATTGTTGACCTCTGTGGAAAGCCTGCAATTCGGAACTGGCTGAACAAACTTCATCGATCCCGCAGTGAGACTCTGCTGGATGACCTTGGCCTTCAAACTTCAAACAGCCCACCAAATCGGGCAAATTGGCACCCTTTCCAGGAACCGAAAGGCGACCCGCCATTCTAGAAGTCCAAACACTATTTCAGGAACCTTCCAGATCTGCGGCGGCCTTTGATGGCGGAGACCAGGCACAGGCCGACACCGGTGTTTCCACTGGTGGCCTCGATCAGGATGTCGCCTTAGAGAGAAGAGGAGTCTGCCCGCTCAGTGAGCCATCGGCTCAAAAAAGGCCAGTTCCTGAGCCCCGTATTGGTGTTGTGTTGTTGGTTTTCAATAAGATGCGTGTCGTTCAAAATAGTGGTCTACTCAAAGAGTCTTTCCTTTCAACTACCATGAAAGGGGTCTACATGTTTGAGAAATCCTAATGTAAACAAAATCCCGGCGGGATATCAACCCATCTGGCTTTGGATGGGGGCATTGAATAGCGATGCCAACCCCGGACTCAGAAAACCCTGTCTTGATGATAGAGAGGCGTCCCGATTCAGAGCGGGTCTGTTGTTCTCGCTGTATATTAATTCGGGGTTAACAATTACACCAGGGCAAAAGTAGACGCAATCTGTTTATGTCGCTCAGGGGGATGACAAGTGAGCGAAATTGGGGGGGGCTGCGCCATCTACATTCACCCAGTACTTGGATGTTCGGCCTAGTGGTTAGCAAGCTAGGTTCTGACCTACACGGTTAACTCTAGGTAGCTGGGCCTCTTGAAACATGAATGAACCGCTTGTTGCCTAACAATCTGCACACTTCACGCAGGGCCCCTGCCAGGCTTGATGCGGCCGCTCCTCAGCTCACGCAACAGGATCCGGTGGGCAGAAGTGTATCATGTTGTTCCTTTGGTTTTCTTTATTATCTTCTCCTTTTTTCTCCCCTCTCTCTCTCTCTCTTTCTTCCTTTTTCCGTTTCTTTCTCTTTCCCTTCTTCCTTTCTCTCTCTTCTTTCTCCATGTCCTGTCTTCTTTCTCCTTGTCACGTGTCTTCTTTCTTTCTTTCTTTAGCGTTTTCCTTCCTTTCCTTCCCTCTCCCTCCCTCCCTTTCCTTCCCTTCCGTCCCTACTTTTTTCACGGATCCAACAAAACCCTCGGCAAAAAGACAAAAACAACAGCATCTCCCTTTACTACATATCCATCGCTTTTGTGCTCATTTCAGCCGCTTGTGTAGCGGTTGTCACTTCTTTGAACAAAAGCAAGGATAAAACAAAGTTTGTCTTTAAACCTAAGAAGACATATGTTGACCGTATTCGAACACGTTGCGCCGGGATTCTTCTCTGCCTCCTCAACCATTCGCTTGGCAATGCGGTCCTGACAGTCAAAGCTATGGGTAGAAGACGTGGAAACAAAGCAGCACAGTTTGTGAGTTTGTTGTGAAACGTTTCGTGCCCTCATGTTCCTCAGCAGCTGGAGCACTGAAAACGACCTTCAAAATAAGCTTAGCATCCAGAGATTGCTTCCCTCTTCTCAGTAACTTATCCTTCATTTCAGAAACCAACGCCAACATCCCCAGAGTTGTTGGCCATTTTCTGAAACTAGGTGTTTGGAACACGGCACACGAAAGCACTCACTGCAATCCCTGTGAACCAAAAAGTGGAGACCTTGCATTTACAAATGGCCTAAAGCAATGGGAGGGACAGCTTTTGTCAGACACACCCCAGCTTGCAGTCTACAGTTCACGCATCCCAAAGCAGCCTTGACGGAGCCTCCTGCATTGAACAGCTCAACCTGCGCACGGAAGGTCTTGCAGTGACACATTGGCTGAGCCAAGCAGCCAGGCCTTCCCCAACCAGTCGCAATCAACATCCTGGGTCGGATGTCTGGAAACTACGCACCGAACAATACATGAAACATGCTCCGTTCCAGTTGGGTGACCTGTTTGAATGAGTTCTAACAAATGGGTTCTAGGATTATACACACATGATTGTCCTTTCATGCAATCTGGAACCCGTTTAGTAGAAACTTTTACACGGGCCCCCTGATATACTGTACATGCAATACAACATTCCTCTGTTCTACTTCCCACTTGCGGTGCACTAAGGCAGCATCCAAGAACTTGGACAGGCGAGACATGCGCACCATCCTGAGACTGTCAGACTCAACGGGCTCGAAAAAGTGACTGGTTGGAAAGCGCAAGCGGGTCCCCAACCTCCCAGCATACTGAACTCAGCAGCCGGCGGAGTGAAGCCAATCAAGTCAAGGGCAGAGTCGCAAATCTTCTCATATGGCCTAACAGCAAACCAGACAAATGAGAGCTATGACACGCAAGCAGGGAAATCATGACCCATGCAAGATCGGCCATACATAATACGACCAGCTATGCAAAGCCTGGTACCAAAAAAAAATGGTTGTCAAAAAGATGGCCTCTTTGTTGACCCTGGTGCCGCCTTGTGTGCCAAAAGGACGCGCAATTTGGACAACCCCCTGATAGCTTTGATACCCAAGCTTGATGGTTATTACCCCATCCCAAACAGGTTAACTTGTGGCAGGTTAGTGGAAACATAATCACAATCCCACAAAGCTCCAGAAAGCAGTCTACCCTGCTTTGGGTTTTTTGTGCATTCCTGCTTTGTCTCCTTGTTTCACGGTGTGACTTCTGTCAGATGCACAAAGAACCTTGTTGCTGTCCATTGACCAACAACTGGTTGAGGTGTCTTTTTTACTAGCCCCGACGACTTTTTAAAAGCCCCGGCCCAGCACAAGGCCGCCCCATGTGGCTCTGAAGAGGTTGGCTGGGAATGCTTCGCTCGGGCAACAGGTGCTATTCTCTGGGGGCCTAGTTGGCCAGAGAGTCGGTGGGCCGCATCCCTAGCATGCCCAGCATTACCGGCCTCGCTCGGACTAGGGCTGCCAATTGGCTTTGATTTGGTGGCAGTTCAGAGTTGCTCCGGGCTGCTTTCGAGCGATTGTTGGGCTTGCTGACGTCTTATAAATGAGGGCGGGTCTTGGGTTTGTTTGAGGTTCATTTAGGCTTTGTAAAGGGCAGGGTTCAAGGTTGACTTTGAGCTCCCAACAGCATCCTGGATATCAGCCCTTTACAAAGCCGAAATGAACCCCAAACAAACTCAAGACCCGCCCTCATTATATAAGACGTCAGCAAGCCCAACAATCGCCCAAAAGCAGCCCGGAGCAACTCCGAACTGCCAACAAATCAAAGCCAATCAACAGGCAGCCCTAGTCCGAGCGAGGCCGGTCATGCTGGGGATGCTGGGGATGCGGCCGCCCCAACCAGTCCCCCGGCCGGTGCTAAGCCCCGAGCCGGGGCTAGAAAAAAAAAAACGGCTCCCCAACAACTCGTGGAAAGCAAAAACAACAACACAACCTCGAGAAAACAATCAAAGCCCTCGGCAGAAGGTTGTCGGCTTGGCACTCAGACATTTCCCTGAGGGCTTGTTTTTTGGTTTTCCTCAAGGTGTTTGGTGTCTGGGTTTGTTAGCTGTCTGGGTTGGACTGCTCTTACACGCTCCACCTGGACCTGTTTTTATACTTGCGAGGCGTTCAGCAATAGGGGAATGCTAAAGAAAAACAAATAGGGAAGTCTCAAGGGAATAGTAACGGAATACTGAGAGTACTAGGGAAAAACAGAGGGGATAACCCAAAGAATATGTTTGGACAAATAATATGGTTATATGACAAAAACCAGCTGTATTAAAAGTTCAACGTTGCGTTGAACAAAAGGCAGCACAAGAATGTAGAGAAACATGACCAGCCTGCCACCCTTGATCGCACCAACCGTGAGCTTATTGAAGTCGTCATCAATCTCCTTGTCCCAGCCCACCTAGGTCAAGCCGTTGGGAAAGTCCAATTGGCCATGGCTACGGCTTTTGCATTAGGCATCGCCGTTGTCGCTCCTTTTTGAGGGGTCCATGACCATCCCTACGAACTTCAAGTAAACGGCCCTCGACCAAAGCGGGAAACCTCCAAACTGACTGGCTTCCTTTCGCTTCCTGTTTCTTTCAACCCCGAAACCGACACCCTCCTAAACACCCACCCCTTTGAGGGCTGCTAAAAATGACTTCCCGGAAGTGGTCAGAATAAGAGTACAAAAGGCGCTGACAAAAGGCCATAGAAAGCTATTTCAATGCTCCCTGGCCCGACCCACTTAGTAGCAACAAAGCCTTCACTTGCTTTGGGGAAGGTATCACATAAACAAACACTGTGAGCTGAGCCCGTGTTGGTTCCATGAACTGTTGCGCGCCTCTCAAAGCGTGCGCAAAAGGAGGTCGCATGGCCAGCTTGCTGCAATAGGGCCAAAGAGACCTTCTGATCTACTGCACCTTTCATGGTTAGTGATAAGCAAACCGTGTATCCAAAAAAGTCTCCATCAAAGCCTCCTAGACAGCAAACAGGCGGGGTTAGACACACTCCGAATAACTATCAACAATCTTCTGCCTTCCTTCTGCCACCCAGTTGCGCCCAAGAAATACCAATCCTATCCCAAAGCACAAAAGTAAGGAAAAGCTGCCAGAAGGTTCAATAAATGACTGGGCTCCTTGAGTTTTCTTGTGTATTTCCATCCTAACTAATTTGTGTTGTATCAGAATCCGATACCGAGGCGCATAGCTCGGGGCCTTGACCTCTCCCTCCTTCTTCTCATCGTAGGGCAGCTTCTGCAGCTCGCGCCTGGGCACATTCTCGCATGCCCGAGAGCGGCCGCGAGTGACATGGGAATCAAATGGCTGCGGCTCGATTGTTTGAGGTTGGTTTAAAGGGAAACCAAAGCCGAAAAACACACTATGTTTTTTTGGGGGGGTCCATTGTTCGGTTTTGAAGCGCACCAAATGATGATAATAATAATAATAATAATAATAATAATAATAATAATAATAATAATAGCCAACAATAATAATAATAATATTAATAATAATAATAATAATATATTGTATTAAACAAATAGTGATAATAATAATAATGAAAAAAAGAAAGTTCAACATTAGCTGATTTTTTTGCTAGACAAAACAACTTTATCTAAAAATATTGAAGATTTATCTAAAACAAAATGAAGTAATGAGTGCCACAATAGACTATGTTTCAAAAGTCTATCAAGATGAAATTAAACGTGAAACTAATTTATTAAAACAACAAAGAAAGAACGTGATCATGCAAAACAATATTATGCAATATGAATTAGAAGTAATGGAATTAACAAGTCTGCGATCTCCAGGGTTGTGAATGGTTGTGCCTCTTTCTTGCCAGGGGGTAGTTTCGATTCAAACCAAAGGGAAAAACGCTATAATAGCGTACTATTTGGACCGTCCCCTATTTTGATACATACATACTGCTTAAACGACCGTCTTTTACGCTCGAAATCAAAAAGGGGGCCACTTGTTTAAGCACGTTTGGCCAAACCCGGTGATCTTTGTCCAAGAAGCGCGCGCGCGACGACTGGATCCACCGATGCAAAGCACCGGGTCGGCACCTGGAACCTCGGCTGGTGCAAAGCGCAGCGGACACCGCGAGCAACGCGAGGCCAAGGGCAGGGCCCACGTGCCAGCCTGCAGGCAACACCGCCAAAGCGGGACCTCGGTGGATGCCAAGGTGACAAAGGGCTCAGATTGCGATGGACAAAACGCAGAATACGCAGGCTGAAAGCCTTTCCAAAAGACAACGCGGCTGCAGTCCAAGAGGCATGACAGCAGGCATTGCAGGTGCGAAAAAGCCACGGCTACCCCGTTCTTGACGTTCAACGGCTCGGGGAATCCAGATTCACACACACGCTGCGGCATGCATGCTTTCAAATTGAGCCAGCAAATGTCAAAGAGGCCCGATGATGTTCAAATCGGCTGAAAAGGGAAATATTTCGCGATCCTGATGGTTGCTTTACCCTTTTCCTCTTGAGTTCCCAGCCCAAAAGCGACCCATAATTTGGGAAAGCACTCAAATGCAAGTCCAGGCTCTGCCTGTGTTTCAACATTCCCGCCACTTGACACCCCAGCCTCCGAATCAACGCTGAGCCGCAATGCCTCCGTGCGATCCTGCGAGGATGGTATCCCACTGACCTCATGATTTTTTACAATTCTCAGACAACCTCTGAGTGACGGGAGCCCCAGTTTCAGCCCCAGAACTAGCGAAAAATAGTGACCGCATTCCCAAGGCCCAAAGCTTCAGATTCTCCAGCAAGAGATCTGGCCTCGTCGTCATGCGAAGGACCACTGGACATGGGTCCTCAGTTGAGCGACTCTATAAACCTCCCATGAATACCTATGTCGTATCAAGTTGCTTACGCGCGAGCTTGCGCTTTCCTTACGCGATCCATGTTTTAGCTTACGCGGCAGTCAGTGAGCATGTTAAGCTTACGCATCGCTTACGCGTCGGCGTTTTGAGCGTTTCCCCTCAAGAATTGCTTACGCGGGCTCCTTGTCTCATGCAGCCGCCAGAACTGTTCAAGATGACGTGGACGACTCTGAGGAAGAAGATAACGAAGAGCTACCCTCACGAGTTTCAGCGGCTTGGCGTTGTTGTTCTTAGGTCAAGAAACATATTATTGGGTGGCGGCATCCGTCGCGAGGGCTAGCGGGCAGCCGAGCTAGGCGAGCTTACGCAAACCTTACGCGCCTGCTTACGCGAGCTTACGCGCCCAAGCCCCTTTAGTTTCCTTAAATCAGTGGTTACAGAAGCCTGTTTGTTCCAGTAAAGGGTTGCAACAGCACCTAGCATGAGCCCCAAGAGCTCTCAACCAAAGCTCTGCTGTTGCTTTCTAACGGCGCGCACATGCGGTCTTAGACGTCTTCCTGCAGCCAAAGTCTCCGAGCAAGTTGCCAAGATCGGCTAGGTTGCAAAAGCACAAGCCACGAATAAACACATGGGCGAAACAACTCTTCCGAGCATGCTTACAAAGCCTACCAAGCAATCACGAAGGAGAGCTTACGCAGGTGCTTACGCAGCATGTCTTCCCAAAAACTGCTTACGCCGGCTTACGCCGTGCAGGGTTTTGCTTACGCGGGGCCCTGTTACGACACAACTCTTGCTTGGGATGTAACGGGGGGTTTTTAGAGCTGCTCAGTTGCGTTGGACATCGTTCAGATGTCTGTCGCCCCATGCGTTCCAAGTCGCATCATCTCAGCTGGGCATCGCGCTCGATGGGACCGCTTTGCTTTTCGAAGTTCAATTTGGCCTACACTCAACTCTGGCCTCGTCGAGTCTTTGCGCTTCAGCGCCCTTCTCGCAAATATCCCTTGTCTTGGACTGCCCAAGAAAGCAAACAAGACTGTTGTAGAAACCGGCAAGGCGGGTAGATCCAACACTCTTATGTATCAATGCAGCTTGCAGGTTGCTTGTCTTGTTCTAGCATCAACTTGCTGAAGCCACAGCGGGGTTTAGGCGCCAAGATGCAGGCAATGTGAGAATATGAGGGCTTCAACGAAATAGGGGATCCCAACAAATAGTGTTCTGTTGGATTCTATTTACACCAACCAAAAAAGGGTTTGTCCCGAACAAACACGTACACGCAAAGCTCCAGAATGCAGCAAAGCTTGCCACTACCAGTTGTGTAAGCATGCTCCTAGCATTCCTCCCTCCAGCTACAAGATGAGGAAGTCATCCCGCGATCTACGCAAGCTCTGCAGCTTGACACTCTTCACTCGAAAACTAAAACTTCACTTGCCGGAAACCCGGGCTCATGATGCACGGCTCGCGCGAGCGCGCCTTGGCAATGTGGTGTGACCCAACCGCCCGCGCCAGTCGCGCCTGAGACGTCGAGCCCAAATGGAGCTGTATTGCAGCCTTTCTTGAGGGTGCCTTTTGAACGTCCCGAAAGAGAAACCAAACGTCACAACATATTCTTGTTGGCCTTTCCCTATTTTGTCCCATCCGCACCAAGCCAAGCAGCACTGACCACGGCCCACAGCTGGACCAAGGAACGCTGCCGCTTTAGGCAGGCGTTCAGAGACTCCTGACAAAGGAAAGGTGGGCGCCGTTTTATCATCCGTATTTCTATGTAAGTTGCTGGGGTGTCTCAAATCAGGATAGGGAACGGCAAACCCAACAAGGGCACCACCAACATGATGCATCCAGTCTCGAGCAGTCTCTGGCGGTCTCTCAGGAGTGCCAACAATTAATAACTCGGCTTGGCAGCGTTGCAGGCCAGCTGCCCCCGCGAGATTGTAACGGAATGCCGGATACCCTCCACCAACAAACAGCGTTGTTCATTCTGGAAGACTGTTGCCTTTGGGAAAAGGAGCCTGTGCTCTCTCCCTGGGTGCGCAAGTACACTTTTCGGGCCACAATTGGGAAGTTCCGCCAACATCACCAACAAACTTGCACGGGAATGGGCCAGCTTGACCACAAAAACTTGCAGCCAAAAGGGTCTCTCTAGCACATGTGCTTGTCCTGAGCTGCATTCAGATCTGCCGCCGCCGCATTCATCGCCTGGCACCAAGTGGAGATCCATGCTGGGTGATAACATAGCGGCTCGGGAAAGAAGGAAACACATTTTTCTTTGGGCTTTCTTTTGAGAAAATGAACAAGCCATGGTCTGTTTAGCACCGAGTCAATACTCAGTAGTAAAAGTGCCGCAGGGACTCGATACCCAGGCCTCCCAGCCCATGCCTTTCCTACGATCAATCCATACAAATCTGTGACTTGCATGATTGCCTTGCAGACAATCATCTGTACATTTAGAGCCAATAATCCACAATCGCGCCAAGAACGCTTACACCACCAGCTATGCAGTCAATGCCTTCTTGCAGCGGCTTGATCCTCACAAACACGGTCCCGCACCCCCCACACAAAGAAAAACAACGGGTTGTCGCCTGTGTGTTTGTGTCCACTCACACCCCTCCGCACGCCCGCCCACACACACACACACACACAAAAACACGCACACACTTGATATGAGACGGCAACAATGCAAGAGTGCATCCCCAAGTATCTGAAAAGTGGAGTTTCGTCAGCTAGCCTTCCCGATCTGTTCGCTCGCCGCGGCTACTCGTCAGTGCCCATGACTACCGCGACGAGGTACTAAGAAAGGGGTCGGCTTGCTGGCATGGGCATACTCCAATAAAGAGAGAGAGGCACGACCGCAGAACCCCTTAGGAACAGGGGGGCCACACACACACACCCCCCGCAGGGGGGAAAAAACCACAAAACGGCCCGAAACTCAACACTCAGAAGAACAGCCAACTTCAGAAAGCCGCCTCCATCTTGATTCCCGATGGGTGATTTGGTCCGTTTGTGGAACTCCTGCCTATGCTCAATTACTCGCGGTCATTTTGACATGTGGCATCACCGCCTAGGTTCAGGTGCATTGGTTCGAAATGGTTGCCTTCTGATGCTGTTCCTTCACCTTTCTGAGCTCTTCCAGCGCTGTGTGACATCTGGGATGGACCGGTTGAGCTTCTTGGCCAGCGATTTGTACGAGTACTTGGACCGGTTGTCCGCTTTCAGGCTGCAAAGCTGCTGGTCATCTTCCTCTGTCCAGGCGCGAGGTACTTCCGGGGGAGTTCCTGGGTTGCCGGCATCGGAGTGAGCACGAGCAGGAGGTTCAGGAAGGGATTCAGGAGAGGAGAACAGGCCCGCGCAAGGAGAGACCGGAGCTGGCGCTGGAGTGTGAGGCGCCGGACGTGCTGGAGGTTCCGGGAAATTCGTCTTCTCGGAGGATGTAGCGCGGCATCGCTTCCGCTTTGTTCTGCGTCGATCGGTCCCGCCCTTGTCCATGATAGAACTGGGAATATTGGCTTTCTTGATGCTCAGCTGACCAGCATAAGTGTGCGCCATGGAGCTCTTCGGGCGCGGGTCTATAGCCTCGTTGGCGTCGACAACGACTTGGGGTTGGCCACTGCGTTGTGCTTGTGGCCCACGTGTAGCTGGAGTGACTGAAAGTCGACTGGTGGTGGAGGGTCGGCCAGATCCGCCGAGTTGACCGAATTCAGGATCCCGGGGCCAGGTGGTTCCACCTCATCGAGTCCAACATGATCGTGCGCTCGCGGTCGCGATGATTCTGCCAGCGACAGGCCTCGGACATGTTGCTGCCGCACGCGATCGTGCCCGTCATGAAGCCTGCGACTGTGTGCCTCGTCAGCCTGACTCAGAGTCTCCTGGATGAGCTGCATCATGTCCGCAGCGTTCTGGGTCATCCGGTGGTGAAGTGCTATCATGCGTCCGAGCATGACGACCACTGCCCGATGTCGGCGAGAAGGCCCACGTCTTGAACCACCAGACAAGCTCCGTGATAAACACAAGAGTCAAGGGACCCCGGAACCCAAACGTAAAAACCCGAGCGCAACAGCCTAGCCGAGCCAGACCCGGTTTGGAGGAAGACCGAAACAGAACAAAACCAACAAGAGCGAGCCACACAGCCAAACATCGAAAAACAACGACAATCGGCACTTAAACGTTCTTTCCGGTTGGGATGGCCGGAAGATGAAACAGGTGCTGCAGGTCAGCTGACTTGTAGCCGGCGGACAAATAGATACTGCGAAGCTGATCCAACGCCATCTGTACTGCTCGGGCCGGGTGCGCGTACTTGGTAGCGAGGGCTGACCGTGATCTGGCCCCGGAGAGAAGGGTGGAAAGACTTCCTGCAGTGTGGGGTCCTCTGATCTGCCAGATTTTTGTTGGGGTTTTGTAGCCCACGTCGATCACGAAGCCGAGGAACTCAGAGGAACCCACCTGTTCCAACACGATGGGTGCACCATAAAAGTCAG